ATCTCACTCGTGGAGATCTTTCATTTAGGTTCCCCCCCCTTCCCAGAGTGTCTTGCTTTCCATGCCTGAAATACTCTCATGGGCATTTCAGCCGGATCCGCATGGCTTAAGGGCTGATTCTGAGGCCAGAGTGCTGTTAAGACATTTGCCATTCTATGGGTCTGTTGTGTATCTCACTTCCCATGTTGGATCATTCTCTCCCTTTTTGATTCTATCAGCTAGTATTCGCAGACACTATTCTTGTTTATGAGATCCCTTTGGTTCTTAGTCCTATCATTACGATCAATTGTGAACAGAAATTGATCACTGGGACTAGTGAGATCGCATTGGTACATGCCACCTCGATGGGATTGAATTCGAATCCCCTGGTATGTTTCTAACTCTACCGTTTGAGGTAAGTCAGCTTGAGCATGTCCCGAATTGCACATCTCTTCTCTAATGAATCTTGATGTGAATGGAAGGGTAGAGGGAGTGGATAAGGGGAGTGTTGTGGGTTGGAAGGATGTTATGGGGGGGGGAAGCCATTGTAATCCATATTCTGTACTTTGGAAATTTATATTCATTAAATAAAAGTTTAAAAAATGCAAAAAAAATGTACATTATACTCCAATACATTACATTTCAGTACTCTATTAGTTAAATCAGATCAGAGAAAACACATGGTATCTGTCTTTGGGATTGGCTTATTTCACTAAGTATAATGGTTTTCCAGTTGCATCCATCTAGTTGTAAAAGACAGGATTTCATTTTTTCTATATCTTAATAGTAACCATAGTATATATATACCAGAATTTCTTTATCCAGTCAACAGTTGATGGACATCTGAGTTGATTCCATATCTTAGCTATTGTGAGTTGAGCTGCAATGAACACTGGGCTACAGATAACTCATTCATATGCTGATTTCTTTGGATTTGGGTAATATCCTAAGAGTGGGATGGCTGGGTATATGGTAGGTCTATATTCTGATTTCTGAGGTATCTCCACACTGTATTTCCACAGTGGCTACACCAGTTTACAGTCCCACCAACTGTGGATTAGGGTACCTTTTTCCTCACATCCTCTCCAGCATTTGTTATTTGTTGATTTCTGTATGAGAGCCTTCTAACTGGGGTGAGGTGAAACCTCTTTGTGGTTTTGATTTGCATTTCCCTGATGGCTAGTGATCCTGAGCATTTTCTCAAGTGTCCATTGACTATTTGAATTTCCTCTCTTGATAATGTCCTTTGCCAAAGGAGGTACCTTTCTCTGAAGGGAGGAGAGAACTTCCACTTTGACTATGACCTTGCCGAAATATGATCAGATTCGGTGAACTCAAAAGGCTTCCATAGCCTTGGCCACTCCTGACAAGAGCCTAGGGTGATTACTGAGGCCATAAGCAAGAGTGTCAATTTGTAAAGTCAACAACAGGAGTCACTGTGCACTTACTCCTCATGTAGGATCTCTGTCCTTAATGTGCTGTACATTGTGATTTAATGTTATAACTAGTACTCACACAGTATTTTTCAGTTTGTGTTTCTAAGTGGGTGCAAACTGTTGAAATCTTTACTTAATATATATTAAACTGATCTTCTGTATATAAAGAGAATTGAAAAAGAATCTTGATGTGAATGGAAGGGGAGAGAGAGCGGGAAAGGGGAGGGTTGTAGCTGGGAGGGAAGTTATGGGGGCGGAAAGCCACTGTAATCCATAAGCTGTACTTTGGAAATTTATATTAATTAAATAAAAGTTAAAAAAAAAAGAAAGGCAAAAAAAAAAAAAAAACCACAGTGAGGTTTCACTTCACCCCAGTGAGAATGGCTCACATACAGAAATCTACCAACAACAGATGCTAGTGAGAATGTGGGGAAAAAGGGACACTAACACACTTGTGGCAATGCAAACTGGTAAAGCCACTATGAAGAAAGTCTGGAGATTCCTAAGAAACATGAATATAACCCTACCATACAACCCAGTCATCCCACTCCTTGGAATTTACCTAAAGGAAATTGGCAAATCAAAGAGCTGTCTGAACCTCAATGTTTATTGCAGCTCAATTCACAATAGCTAAGATCTGGAATCAAATTAAATGTCCATCAACAGTAGACTGGATAAAGAAATTATGGGATATGTACTCTAGGAATACTATACAGCAGTCAAAAGCAATGAAATCTGGTCATTTGCAACAAAATGGAGGAATCTGGAAAACATCATGGTGAATGAAATAAGCCAGTCCCAAAGGGATTAATATCATGGTCTCCCTGATCGGTGACAACTAACTGAGCACCTAAAAGGAAACCTGTTGAAGTGAAATGGACACTATGAGAAACAGTGACTTGATCAGCCCTTGTCCTTATTGTCAAGGAACAACTTAATACTTTATCCCTTTTAGTACTTTTTTTTTGTATTCTTAACACTATTGGTTGAACTCTGTAATTAACACACAATTATTCTTAGGTGTTTAAATTTAACTGAAAAGTGATCCCTGTTAAATATAAGAGTGTGAATAAGAGAGGGAGGAGATGTACAATTTGGGACATGCTCAACCGGACTTGTCCCAAACAGTAGAGTTAGAAACGTGCCAGGGAATTCCAATGCAATCCCATCAAGGTGGCATGTACCAATGCCATCTCACTAGTCAAAGTGATCAGTTTCAGTTCATAATTGAACATAATGATAGGATTAAGAGTCAAAG